TTTATTTTTTAAATATTACAGGAGTGTGTTTAGATTTTCCCTCTTTATCAAATATTTCTTAGAATAAATTTTACACTTTTTCAATTACTAAGCTTCCTCAAATACTTCTAAAAAAATTTTTTATAAATATTTTAAAAAACATTAAATTTCATGCATTTTTTTAAAAAAGAAAAAAGAATTTTTATCCAATCTAGTGCAAAATAAGGAAAGCTTTGTAATAAAAAAAAATTTAAGAATGTATAAAAAAAACAAGTAATATAAAATAATTTGAAATCAATTTCTCCTTAAATCAACAAAGAAAAAATTCTACTTTACCTTTTAAGCTACAATTAATATAAATATGTATATACATGTGACAGAATCACAATATTGAGTGACATAATACAAAGCTAGCACAATTTTCCATTTTCCTTTCTATATAGGGTGTTGGACTATTTTTTGTTTGAAACTAATTATTCATAAATTAATTTAACTATTCTAACAAAATATTATAGTAAAAAAGAAATCACATTCTCAGAAATTAGGTCATCCCAGGTGGGATTCGAACCCACGATTTCGGAGTAGAAGACGAACGAGCTATCCATTGCCCTACTGGGACATAGCAAATGAATTTTCTTTCTATATATGCTGTTGGACTATTATTTTTGTTTGTTACTATTTATCCATTTTTTTAGTTTAATTTATGAATAAGTATTTGAAAAATTGTATTAAAAACATCAAGTGTAATCCACTATAAGTTTAAAAAAATTATTTGATTTTGAATGAAGAGAAAGTATTTTATTTACGATTGAAAATCTGAGCAAGAAATATATATATATATATAGGAAGAGAGTGAACTTATAATAGGAATTGAATTAAACCGAAGGAAAGTAATTACAGTCTTAATAAACAGAAAAAGTATTTGTTTCAACTTATAAATTTTTAAAACTCAAAAGCACTGTAATAAAGATTGTTTAGTTACAAAATTGTCTTTATTTTAAAAAATCAGTAATTTACGATATGTTTTTCAAGATATAATAAAATAAAAATTGGCAACACATTTTGGTTGGTATTGAGAAATGAAGAGATTGAAGCAGAAAGTCATAATTTTAAAAAAACAAGGGATGGAAAGCCAGAAGAAGATTCCGCATTTCTGTGCTTTGCATAAAATAACAATGGGTCTTATTCCTTGCTATGAGTTTTCAGATCGAAACAAAGAATTAAAAATTACTGTATGATAATTAGATTTGGAAGGAATTTTCTATATGCGATTGAACATCAAGGGTATAAAGTGAAAATAGCTTAGCACAAAACTAAAGGAATTTAAATATTTGTTCACGTTAAAAGAATTTCGTGTTAAAGGATATTGCAAAAAAAAACATATATCAACAAAATTAAATTTCTTAGAGTTTATTTTATTTACATATATATTTACATATGCGTAGATTTAATAAAAATCAGTGAAATAAAAATATTCTCAAAAACTTAATAAAAATGAATACAACATTTTCAAGTTTGAAAAAAAAGTTTTGGGGGAATTTAATTTAATATTTTCTTTGTATTGTTTTTGTTAGCATCAAATTGTCAACAGATTATTCAATATCGTCCATTTTGTTATTCATTTCACAATTGGAATGTGCGTTTAAATAAATGCCCATACTTTTCATGACATTCCCTATTTCGGATGATGTCGGAGGTGTCTTATTCCTTTTATTTTCATCGTCTGCATCAATGAAATTTTGTGAGCTTTGAACAAATTCTAAAACACGGCACCATTTTGGTGTAGCATGCCAAGCCAATCAACCAACATCATCCACAGTGCCACACATTAAAATATTTTTGAAAGAATTCGACTCCAATGATAATGCATACAGAGTAAAAGAAGAGAGGTCAATAATATATATTTACAGTTTTATTATACATCAATTCTTCATCATTTAGCATAAAATATAACTACTCCTTTAACAAAAAAATTTTTTTAACTGTACACATATGTTGTATGTGTGTATTTTTAAACATATTTATTAGAATAAAAAAGAGACAACATAAAATATATATGCATATAAATACATTTATCTTTCATTATGTGATAGCGGTCGGTTCCTGCTTGACTCTGAACCCCCTTGTCTACCTGTAAACTCGACTAGGTGAGTGGGAGAAACTGAATGATCCACAGACATAATTTCAATCTGATTAATTTATTGTTACCAAATACAATCAGACACAATAACAATCTAATTAAGGTAGGTGATTAAATAGTATAGAACGAAGGGGCACGGGGATATTACTACAGACCTTCAACTGAATCTAAGATAGCTTAAATACTTTCAAATATAATTACGTCGCACACTTGATAAGCTAACTTCTACTTAATACAGCTCAAAATACCTGTACTTTTTATGCATCAGATCCTACACTGGAAACTTGCAGGTGATCTCTTTCGGCTTGATCAATGTCATTAGATCCACGTTCTGTAAACTTTTTCCTGGACAACTCCAAGACTTCTAACTAATTCCACTCTCTCTTTCAATCTTCATCTAACAACTAATTCGCAGACTCTATGCTAACTTCTACTTGCCAACTCCAACGTGCCAACCCACAAACTCGCGAAAAGAGAATTTATATAATATACTTCATTTACATAATCCCTCTTTCTTGATCGGCGAAAGTTGGTTAAATTAATTATTTTTCCCCAGAATAGTCCCCAAGGTGTTAGTATAGTCGCGGATAGAACCGTCCCAATTAGAGTTAAATAAAAAATTTTATGCGAACCTAGTGCTTGTGAACCTTTACTTTTATATAGCAAAATCAGGAGTATAATTCAATTCTATACGATTCTAAGCATTCAGTTATTAAACAATTTCTTTGAGGACTAAAATGGAAAGATTTTTACTTAGATATGTAGAATCCACAGCGGAAAGTTGGGTACATGCAATGTTCTCTTCTTTAAACAATTAAATCTCTCCAGAAATGACGTTCAATAATTTATAAAATAGCTGTAAATTTATCTTTAGGGTTATTCAGATTTTTTTTATTTTTTATTTTTTATAATTCCTTAAATCAGCGTTTCTCGAACTGTGGGAGGAGTGATAACTCTAAGTGTGGGGGGGAGCATATCGAAAAATAAAGAATTATTTTTAAAAATTGTTAATTTGCTGAAAGGAAGTGAAACAAAACACATTTTTAATTATGAAAAGTAACACAAAATACTTATCCTTAAGCTTTAAGTAACTTAAAATATTTTATTTAAAAGTAACATATACGAAATTTGATATTTATATTGTGATAATTTGTACAGTTTATAATTAAGGTCGTACAGTAGCTTTAGTGTCAAGTACGTTATTATAGCGTTCAATACATTGTCATTTTATGGGGGGGGATGAAAATTCTGATTGCAAGTTGGGTCACCAATATTGAAAGTTTGAGAAGCACTTGCTTTAAAGGACCTTAATTCTGAAAATTTGTTAAGGTCCACTGCAAATTTATCAAATTCCAGCCATTCAAAAATTGATTAATTTGTAGAGTAGTGCAGAGTGCCACTGAGAATTTTACCGAGTGACACATGTGGTAAGCGTGCCATACGTTGCTCTGACTCCTGCTCTAAAATATCAATAACATTGTAATTGAAGCTGTTTTTCCATATTTGTTCGTTCCCAAAAGGAAACCTTGTTAAACAATTTTATTTCGTGTTAACAGAACAAAATTCATACAAATGCATAGTATTTTGTTTTGACCGTTGTATTATTTCGCATTAACCGATGTTTCATTTTAAGCGTTTTCGCGTTAAGTGTATTTTGTTGTGAATATTTTTATGGATTTTAATTTAATCACTTTCTCTCTTCAGGTACATACACACTCAAATTAATTCTTTTTTCCTACGCACATAGAGGGCGATACTATTAGTTTCATAAATATAAATAATAATAAAAAATTAGATTTTTCACAAATATATTTTTTAAATAACTATAAGCTTTTTTTAATTCTATAAAAGAATTAATACTTTTTTCCTCAAGATAAACATTTTTTATGTATTTTTAAAAAGTTGTAATGGTGTCATTTGCATTGTTACTCTGGAATCAGTTGTCTGTTCATTCGGTTCTTATGAAGTCTTGGAGAAATATTCTATGTTCCCATTTGAATTTAATGCTCCATAACATATGATTTTTTAGATCTTTGCTCAATACTCATAACAGGAGGAAGGTTGGTTAGTCGCTATATACACTGCTGGACTCCGTAAATGCAACACCAAGAAAGACAAGAGATAGCACAACAAAATTTATTTTGTAGATAACATGTTGACCAAGTATAAAATGATTAAATTTATAGACTTCTGTGAAGTGTGGTTCCTGCCAGAATCAGTAGCCAGAGTAGCCGCCATTGTTGGAGACCACCACTGCCACACATCTCGGAATTGATTAAAGAGACTTTGGATGTGTTCTTGGGGTACAGCAGACCAAGCAGCTTCCACACGTTGCCAAAGTTGATCTGGTGGGGCAGCTGGGGGTATAAAATGGGCCAATCATTGAGCAACTATGGACCACATGTTTTCTATCGGCGAAAGATCCGGATAGCGAGCAGCACAGGGAAGCAATTCAATCTGGTGATTGAGAAGAACTTTTGGACAATGCGTGCAACGTGTGGTCTCGCATTTTCCTGTTGAAATATGGCTGCGGCCAAGCCTTGAAGGTAAGGAAGGACAACTGGCTCCAACACCTCGGAGATGTAGCGCTGGCTGTTTAAAGTACCGACAATGCGTACTAGAGGAGTGCGAGAGTGATATCCAATACCACCCCATACCAAAATACCCGGTGCAGGGCCAGTATGGCGGTGCATAACGCAGCTGTTCAGAATCGTCTCTCCAGACTCGAATACGACATTGTGGTGTTGCAGATAGATGCGTGACTCGTCAGTAAAGACAATTTATTCCATTCTGTCACTCACATCCTTCTATCATCGCACCATTGTTGGCGGAGACGTCTGTGGTTCTGCGTCAAGGGTAGACCAAGCAATGGACGTCTTTCGGACAGACCACTCTGCTGTAAACGGCTTCGAATGGTACGCGCAGACACTGAATGATGCGTCACAGACTCAACGTGCTGTGCTATGGTTCGTGATGTGATTGAGCGATCTGTTACTGCCATGCGCACAATTTGCCTGTTCTCACGTGAAGTGGTGCACTGAGGTAGATGCGATCAACCATGCCAGTCCGTCATACCCTCCTGCATCCAGCAGTCACACATCCGCATTACAGTTGTTTGATTTCGTCCAACACGACTACCGATTTTCCTGAAAGATAATCCACAATCTCGGTAGGCCACTATCCTTCCTCTGTCGAACTCGGATACTTGATCAAAAGCTGATCGCTGTTTTCTACGAGACATAACTGATCGTTTTTTGAAAAAACCACACAAAAAACACAATTGCCGAACTTGAAACCGTTTAAATCTCCAGGCCTTAAATAGCGCTTTGAGGTGGCACCCCAGGCGTGCGTGATGTGTGTCTGCGCTGAAATTCGAATCATTTGCATATCTCACCTCCACTAACGCATGTTGTAAATTTCATGTTATTTGCGTGCTTCCTTCAGGGTGTTGCCTTTACGGTGGCCAGCAGTGTATATAA